AGCAGAGCTTGCCTTCTGCCGGAACTGGGGAGTGTGCGTGCATATTCACGTGGTCTGAAACATGTTTACGCAAACAGACAGGATTCCATCAAGTTGCTTTCGTTCAAGTCATTTGGTCTGTATTCACAATGTATAGCTCACCCACTTGGTTTCCTATCACAGTAACTCTTACATGTCCTTTGATGATCAAAGTCACTGAGTCTTCAGAATAGTTTTAGTTTTATACTTTTGAAGCTGAATATCAGCTCTTCCTATACTTAATGCATTATTGCCCATTTTTTTTAGTGAGCTTTGATTATATATTTTTCTATAAATGAAGCATGGATAATAACTTCCCCTTCATGTATAATGCTGATTCAATTAGTGAAGCATGAACAACAAATAATTATTGTCATTCCTTTTATGAAGTTGATACACAAGATTGCAATTAAAAAAGAAATCTGTGATGCTTCTACAGAAACTAAAGTGATTGCTAAGGCCATTTCATGAAACCACAGATGAGGGGAAACAGCCTCATCACACTGGTAAATTAAGTCAGGGAACAGAGGCTTCTGAATTACTATTTATACAGTTTTATTTTTTTTTTGTCCTACTCTTAAGTTGAACACATTAAAGCTCCCAACAACAAAAGTTTATTTTGCAAACACAGGCTTTATTTGCACAAACTAGTTTTATACCGAAAAATATGTGTCAACTGTTTTTAGCCTATACGGAATGTTCTTACACTTAGATTTAAAATTTCCTCTGGATACCAATAGAGTTTACTGGCACAGTATCTAAAGAGCAATCTTGCACAGAGGTGCATAATGAATGTCTTTTGATGAGGCACTGACATTTCCCAGAAATGCCTGCCTCAAATCAATCCTCTCAAACCTGTGGATGATTTGACATACAAATCTTCAGGAAACTGTATATGAATATTTTTCTCATTGTACAATAAAGATTCAATCATAGCACTGTCATAGGAAATTGAAATTCTGCCTTAAACTTTAAAGTTAATCTGCTAGAATCATTTATTTACTTTAGGAATGCTGTTAGATGTGTTCCTAATTCCGATAAGATCTGCATAGTCTTTCTTACTGTCTGAGTTAAAATACTCTGAACACAGCACAGCACAGTGATCTAGCAGCTGAAGTCCTTGCCTTACAGGTGCTCCATCCCATATGGGTGTCAATTCTAATCCCAGCAGCCCTGCTTCACATCCAGCTCCCTGTTTGTGACCTGGGAAAGCAGTTGAGGATAACCCAAAACCTTGGGTGCCCCTGTACCCTGTGAGGGAGACCTGGAAGAAACTCTGAGCTCCTAGATTTGAATGGGAGCAGCACCAGGACTGTTGCCGTCACTTGGCGAGTGAATCGGCGGACAGAAGATCTTCCTCTCTGTCTCTCTGCCTCTCTATGTATATCTGACTTTGCAATCAAAATAAATAAATCTTAAAAAAAAATACTATGAGTAACATCACAGGCAGTGAATCGTGTCAATCATCTGTACCAAACATGGTGTTCTACGACAAACATGTACATGGCTATCAATCACTAATTCACAGGAGTGTTGAGTGGTTCTCTTGAAGAGTACTGCCCTGGTTGTGATGTTCCTCCTTGGAAAGACACCCCATGCATCGGGGCCTTGAATAGGCTAAAATTGTATTCCTGCCTATTGGCTTTGTCCAAACCCATTACTGGCGCTTGTGGCCATTTGGGGAGAGAGCCAGCAGGTAGAAAATATTTCCTTTAGTCTCTGTCCCCCTGCGTCACTCTGTATTTAAAAAAGGATTAGCTAATTAATTGTTAAATTAATGTAGTGTATTGCTCTATTTGTCTTCTGTGTCTCTGTGACTTAGCTTCACACTGTATGAATGGGTGAAATTTTCTTCAGAAGCATCTTTTTTTAATTAATCGTATCTTCAGTTTGGATACAAATACAGTAATTTGCCTTTTATAATAGAAAAACACAAATAGTGAAAATTAAACTACTTTAGTTTCACTGTAGAGTATTGAATGTATATAAAAACAAATGTTTCAGCATATTGAAGTGTGGCTGCAGATGGTAAGGGATGGTATCTGAGCGAAGGTGGTCCGTTAAAACACGGACGTGATATCATACTTCTCATAAAAGATGCCAATGTAGAAATATAGAAGGTACAGAAAGCAAGGGTTTTATGGTTATTTGCATTTGAAGAAATGTCACAAGTTTCTATGGCCATGTTTGCACCAAAGTGCATCTTCTCTATTTAGTTTTGAATTTATTATTATTTTACTATGATTGTTTTTCATGATAAAGTCCCATAAGCACAGAAACGCCCCTCTTCAACTGCCCTGTCTTCTACCCACTGTTTCTCCCATATTTTCACAGTAGTGTTGTCCTTCAGCAGCAGTCACAAGTCTCACATTCTGCAGTGTGTGTGTATCGTAGCATTAAGTACAGACAACGGCAGATAGTCTACTATCCTACTGTCGGTTTTATTTAACAGTTTCATTGGGAATCCACCTTTTATTCAAGAGTAGAGAGGCATACAGCAACATGTCTTCTCTTGCAGGTATCTAATCTTCATCATACAGTTTTTCTAGGAGAATATATACATACATATTTACATGTTGACAGATATTTGTTAATCTCACGTTTTGCATGAAGGTTGCCTTATTTCAGAGGAAACATGATCATTGTCCTTTTGGTATTGGTTTATTTCACTGAGCATAATAGTCTAGGTGGAACCATTTTGTTGCAAATAGTAGAATATCATTATTTTTTAACAGTCATGTATTCCTCCACATAGTAAATGTACCCTATTTTTTGTCCAGCTCTCTTTCAGTGGGCATCTGTGGTGTTTCCATATCTTCATTATCATGGATTGTGCTTCTATGAACATAAGGTTGCAGGTCACTTTTTCATGTGCAGATTTCACTCCTTTGGCTATATTCCCAGGTGTGGGAAAGCTGGGTCATATGGTAGATCAAAGTTTGGTCATCTGAGCACTACATACTGACTTCCACAATTGCTGCACTAGTCTACATTGCCAGCAGTAGTGGAGTAGGGTATCTTTATCCCCACATCCCTGCCAGCAGGTGTTAGCGGATTTCTGAATGTAGGCTAGTCTCACCAGAGTTAGTTGGGGGCTCAATGTGGTTTTTGTTTTATTTGCATGGTAGATAGAGAGCTTTTTTGTTTTTTGTTTTTTTAGTTTGTCTATTAGCCATTTACATTTCTTATTCTGCAAAAGGCAAAGTGCATCCCCTTTAAATATGTATGTGGTAGATTCAAACGTATTGCATGTGCTTTTTCTGTTTTTTTTTCCCTTTACAGTCATTCATGCGGTAGCCTTCAGTTAGCATGAAAATATAAATTAAATGGATATTGTTCGTCGGTATCAGAAAGATACGAAGTCTAAATGGCTTAATTATATGATTTTGTCTGTGGGATACTAATTTTGCTGAAGATTGTTCTTTAAGCATAAAAGCATAATTTTATTTGTGAGCTTGAGAACTCAGAAAAGAAATATCATCTGTCCTTTGCTCATTGCACAGAGTATAGGTATTTTAAACATAACTTCAATTTTCATGGGAACCATAGAATAATTTGTTTTTTAAAAGTTGCATATTTTTGTTTCTAATTAACACTAGTGATATTATTTTATTAGATATTTTATATTGTAATATTTTCTATTAATACAGTAGGCACTATTTATTAATATTATATATATTCAAAGTTAAATAAACTGGTAAATAAATGAAGCAAACTGTCACATCAGATGCATAGCCATATTTTTACAAAAATGTGTATACTATTTAAGGTAAGCTACATTAAGTGGACTACTAAATTGCAATTCATATTAATAAATGCATCTGCACATAGATATATTTACATATGTTAATAAAGAAAATACCTGTAATATACGGATTTGTTTTTTGTCATGTTAATGATTAAAATGCTTTATTGGGTGCATTATCACATACTCATGTGCTTGGCAGCTTTCCTGAAATCGTTTTGGACACTGTGTATTTGGATGCTTTATATCAAATGACTTCATCTAACTTTGACCCAGATGGTCTCCTGGAAGACCGAGTTTAGTAAAATGATATTAATACGAAATGAGTCCAACAGGGGCAGTAAGGGTTTTAGGCAAGTATCTTTCTTGGTGTGTATCTACGTTGATGGCTCTGTCTGATGTTTTAAAAGTGTTAACTTGTTGATGTGCATGTGCCAGAATGCCCGCTGCTGGCCCACAGACAGAACTCTCTGCAGCATCATGCAGTTGGTTTTTAATGATTGGAAGAGAAATAACGTTGAATGTTGGTTTTGAAGGTCAAAAATTAAATATCTCAAATGCCTTGAGTAACTCCTACATGGTGGATCCTCCTTGAACATAAACAGTGCTCCACAGTTCAATTATCTTAGTTAAATACAACAAACAAACAAAAAACAAACAACAAATACTCAGGTCCTTCACTGTGGCACAGTGAATTAAGCTATTACCTGAAATGCCAGTATCCTGTATGATCAGCATTTAGCACATCCAAACTTCTCCAGTTCTGATCCATGTGGAAAATGGGAATGGAGTTCCAGTTCCTAGTTGTAGTCGGGCCCTGGTGCTCACTTGGAGGGAAAATCAGTGAATGGATTATTTTGTCAGTGTATCTTGACCTCTGTCTTTCTCTAACTCTGCCTTTCAAATAAATAAATAAATAATAAATAGTGACAAAAATTTTGTCTTACTTGAAGACAAAAGCAGAGACAGAGATGTTTCTTCTGCTGTTTCTTTCCCCTATTGCCTGCAATGGCCATTTACTAGAATAAGCCAAACCGGGTGCCTAGAGCTAAATCAGATCTTTTATATTGGTGTTCTAGACTCTTTTGCATTGGTCTTTTTATTGCATATATGTATATAATATTTTATAATATGATAATATTGTATTATGTGATTCTATGCATTAGAGAATTTCATTTCATGAAGTCCTTCTTTGTATCTTTTCCGTTAGATTCATTTGTCAGATACAAGCTCTTAGATGGTTAATCAGTTATCTGTTAAGCTCTGTACATTATCCATTGCTGTTGGCTAAAAAATAGTAAGAGTCCAGTGGCATTGACAAGTCCAACACAGAGAGAATTTAAATGTAACTATTACATTAGTGAATTACTGAATATAGACCACTTACATCTAATCAGACTAGGTATCCTATTGCCTAACTGCAAGATTATAACAAGCTGTTATCCAAAATTGTAAACCAAGGAGGACCTCCATCTGACCTTCCTACAGTAAGGTTATGAAGCCCAACTCCCCTAGACTGTCAGAAAGCTTCGCTTTGGGGTTTAAACACAACACCATGCAAATCTTGTGTTTAAAGTTCCCTGACCCAGGACAGTTCCCCGATTAGCTCTTTGGAATATGTTGCTTTTCTGCAACGTGCAATTGCATAACATTCTGTACTTTGTTTCTTGTACCTCTTGGAGTTGGTCATTCATTTAGCTGTCCGGTCTATTTTTATCCTGAATTTGTATTTTAAAACTGTCACTCATAATGTAATGATGACTCGGTCTTTCATTTTCCCTTTCTAGAACTTACCAAAACACTGGATTGTTGCTTTGGCCTTTCTTTCTTTCTTTTTTTTTTTTTTTTAAGGTTAAAAGCAATGTAATTTTCAGTTTTCATTGGTTTTTCACCTTATGAGGTTTCCTAAAATGGTTTAAGAAAGAGTGACTGTCTTGTTTTCGCAGGTAAAAAGATGGCATATCAGAAGGTCAGTGCAGATCGAAGAGCTCCAGGACACACCCAGTACTTAGACAATGATGACCTGCAAGCCACTGCCCTGGACCTGGAGTGGGACATGGAGAAGGAACTGGAAGAGCCTGGTTTTGACCAATTCCAGGTGGACAGTGCTGAGACCCACAACCTGGAACACTCGGAGACTACAGACCTCAATCTTGATTCCATTCAGCCAGCTGCCTCACCCAAGGGCAGATTCCAGCGACTTCAAGAAGAGTCGGATTATGTTGCCCATTACACAAGATCTGTACCAAAGAGCAGTCACTGCAGCTTCTGCTACCTTTTAAAACTCTCTTGCACAGCCATCATTGTATTTATTTTTGGGATTTTGATCGGGTATTATACACATACAAATTGCACGTCAGCTGCTACATCGTCTGCATCCATTGAACCTCATTTTTACCAAGATATTCTCAAGACGATCCACGCGGAAGATATTAAGACGACTTTCAGGTAAGTGTGGGAGAAACGGCTTATGGGGGAATTCTTCTATTGATAAAAATGTCTCAGAGGGGGCATTGAACTGGTGGTTTTGCCAATGCTTAAGTCAGTTTTGCAAGCTGAAGAGCAACCTGCCAGCACAGTAAGATCGGAGATTCCCAGAGGGGGTGCACATTCTCAGATTTATGGTACTGCAATGCAAATTTATGCTGCTGTTTTATTAATTGATAATAAGAACTGTAACTACTGTGAAGACTCAGAGTGTGCAACGAATGCATTTTCTCTATTTTGAGAAGCCCAGTTAGGCCAAATTGGGATGTGAAGTTTGCCAGATGTACGTGTAATAAAAACTAGGGCATTAGCCATATGATTGAAAAATTTAATGGCATCAGATAAAATAAACCTGCTTTATGGACTGAAGTAATTGTCTTCATTTGCTGAGATGTTCGCTGGTATTATGTGGCCTCCTACATCTCATGGCTTCCCAATGAGCACATTTATTTCAAAACACTGGGTTCCGCACGTCAGTTTATCTTTAAGCTCATCTCTCTTTCAGAAGTGGCTTTGTGTATCATCTATATAGAAAGAGTATCAAGATTTATAAGTTAAATTATAGGAAATAATTCTTGATCTAACATTAATTATATGTTCTTATGTAAAGGCTTTCTTAATCTCGTAACTTGATGAAAACCTGAAAATGTTGTTTATAATACTATTGGTTTTCATGTCAAGTTGCAAAATGATTCCTGGTTTACATAGTTGGTGAACTAAAGAATCAGGATGGAAATAATATGTTTTATTTTGCACACATAATTCCAAAATCATTGCAGAAAAAAATGTTTCTGGGTGAATCAAGTATTTCCACAAAGTCTGTGTGAAGAACAAATAGAGAGGTGTGAGTTCACTTGGCTATTGTCCCTGCATTTTTCTGGATTCTTGGGGCTGAGCTGTGGGCCAGTATGCATTTTGGGATATTTTATCAGAAGAGCATGTCCCCTGAATATGTATCATTTCAGTGATGTACTGAGATCTGAAGCATAGCAGTACTGCTGACTCCAGCACTCTTCCTGAGGATGGATAATACCAGAGTGACTGATCAAAACGCCTTTCCTGCGCTGTGTCTGCTACTTGCTCTTGCATAAAAATCTTTGGGATGTGTAATATGTAAATGATACCGTACTTGACAATTCCCAATGTATAATTACTTATATTGAATTGAGTTCAAAGATATGTCATTTGTTGTAATGGGTAATTTTATGGGTTGGAATTCAAACAAGAAGTCAGACATTCCCCAGATAGTTAAAATAGAGGTCATTGAAAAGAGGACAATGATTTTATCCTTAATGAAGAATCCAGAAGTCAATGGGGTAATACGAAGGCAACCTACAATGAAGATGTCATTATTCCGAGGCTGAAGTGACCAAGGCAGTGGGGTAAACTGATAGAAGCTTGAACTTTCTGCATAAGACTGTGCATTGAAGGATGCAGTTTTCCCCGCAGACAATGCTGAAGGTAAAGAGAAGGCGAGAAGCAGCCCAGCTTCTCCCAAACTCTTGCCTCCATGAGTGTTAACTGCTGTCCTGCTGACAGAACCCAGCAGCAGACTAGTGACTCAGAGAAACTCATCCTGAGCTCCAGCTCCCTGCAGAACACACTGGAGCAGGGAAAGCATGGACATCTTTCAGGAACAGATTTAATGAGTTCCAGGATGTTACTATAAAAACAAAGAAGGACTGTGTTCATTTAAAACTGTGCTTACTCGGGCCTGGCACTATAACCTAGCAGCTAAAGGATCCCATGTGTTCACCTGTTTGTGTCCCGGCAGCCCTGTTTTCTATCCAGCTCCCTGCTTGTGGCCTGGGAAAGCAGTTAAGGATGGCCTAAAGCCTTGGGACGCTGCACCCATAAGGGAGACCCGAATGAGGCTCCTGGCTCCTGGCTTCAGATCATCTCGTCTCCAGCCATTGCTGCCCACTTGGGAAGTGAATCAGCAGACAGAATATCTTCCTCTCTGCCTTTTCTCTCTGTATATCTGACTTTGCAATAAAAATAAATAAATCTTAAAAATAAAAAGCTTTGCTTGCTCTAACTTCTCTGTGCACACTTATATGTACACGCAGAAAAGGAGCCCTTTGATTAAATTAGGGTTTTGTGAGATAATCACCTTCTTATTGAGCAATTGGTTCATTTTTAATTTATGGACACAGTATGTCTCAACCGCTCTAGCTTGCATCTTCGGCTGCAAGGGAGTTGACAATACAATTTGTATTTGTGAATTTGATGCAGAACATCATGGCATGCATTTTGCTCACTAAGTTACATATTTATTTTCTCTCTTTATATTTGGCTTTCTTTGTTGAGCTTTACTTTTTTCAGAGTTGTAGACATTTCTTAAAAGCATATCCATATCCCCTTTGCAAGTAAGCAAATGACTTAACATTTGAGGAGCATAATTAATGAAAAATATTCCTTATTTTCTGTTGCATGAAGATTGCAAGATAGTGAGGTTTCTATTCCCCCTTCAACCTCCAAAATCACCATGATGTGCTGTGTCTTTAATTACAAAATCATTATCACCAATAATTATATTGCCAGACAATGTTACACAGTTGCAGATTCATAATTTTATCCCAACCAATCATTGTAGCTCCTTCCTTATGTCAAATTATTTTCCTCAAAAATACTTAGTGCAAGTATATTTACAGTAACCTCTCATAACATCTCCTTATCAGGTTTTTTTTTTTTTTTTGCTCAGTAGTCTTGCTAACTGCTTGAGTAGTTACATTATCCTCTGCTTTACTAACTAATCATAGGCTTAACTTTGTACATCACAGATACATGCTATAATTTTTCACCAACTGGTGAAAAATCTTGAGTTTATATTGGTTCATTAACATGGAAATTAATTTCTTTTTTAAAGATTTATTTATTTTTATTGCAAAGGTGGATATACAGAGAGGAAGAGAGACAGAGAGAAAGATGTTCCATCCAGTGGTTCACTCCCCAGCTGGCAGCAACGGCTGGAGCTGTGCCCATCTGAAGCCAGGAATCAGGAGTTCTTCTGGGTCTCCCACATGGGTGCAGGGTTGCAAGGCTTTGGATTGTCCTCGACTGCTTTCCCAGGCCACAAGCAGGAAGCTGGATGGGAAGCAGGGCTGCCAGGATTAGAACTGGTGTCTATATGGGATCCCCGGTGTATGCAAGGCAAGGACTTTTAACCGCTACGCTATCACGCTGGGCCTGGAATTAATTTCTGTATCTCCTTATTGATTCACTGTTGTTATCCATGCCTTAAGTCTGTGTTGTCTCCTGTCAGATTTCCTAGGAAAAGGGCATTGGTAAAGATGATTTATTTTTAATATGGCTTCCTTTTAGATTTCTTTAAAAACATTAACAGGTACACTTACGTATCTTCATGGGCAAAGTGAAATATTTGAGCATATATCATAACTGATCAAATCCAGGGCTCGTTCTCCTTTCTCCATGTTTGGGTTCTATCAGCACCTCTCAGGTTTTTATGCAATACATGATACACGTTTGTGAACTACAGTTCCCCTATTACGCAATAGAACATAAGGGATTTTTACTTCTATGTCCTGGTGCCTCTTACCGCTTTCTTCCCCACAACTGTGCACAGTCCCTAGTTATGACAAATTCTATTCAGAATGAGTATTTGTTTTTAACTTTTGAATATGTGAAAATTTGAAAGTATTCGTTGCTCCGTGCTGTCTTATTTCACTTAGTGACCACTAATCCTATCTGTCTTGCTAAAAATGTCACGGTTTCACTTTTCTTTAGGGCTAAATAATATTCCAATGTGCATATATTTCCTTTATTCATTCATTCAGCATTGAATACCCTCGGTGATTCTGTACTTCCACTTTCATAAGTAAGCCACAATGAACATGTGAGGGCTTATATATTTTTTTCAAATACTGATTTCTTTCCTTCAATTATTTACGTAAAAGTCAGATCATATAGGAGATGTGTTTTCAGTCTTTTGATGATCATCCATACTGTGTTCTATACACTATTTTCCATGACGACTGTATTAGTTTGAAATTCTACAAAAGAATATTCAGGATTCCCTTTTCTCAATATCCTCCCTGGCATCTGCTGTTTTTGTCTTATTGTTGATGGTTACTCTTATCACAGTGACCTGACATATCACTGTGATTTTGACTTACATTTCCCTGGTGGCTATATCTTTCTCATACATCTGTAGGCCATCTGTATTTGTTCTTTGCAGGGATGTCTATTCATCACCTTTTTATATTTTTTTTCAACATAATCATTTGTTGAAAAAAAATCTATTCAGAGCTCCATGTATTTTTAAATTTCTTTGTTTTTTCTTTTTGTTCTTTTATAGTCTTGATATTAATGCTTTGCCAGAGAGTGTCCACTTTTTTCTCCCATTCTTTTGCTTGCTCATCTCATTGATGCTTTTTTTCTTTTGAAGAATTTCCTTCCTTTGGCATAATTCCACTTTTCCAGGTTTACTTTCATCACCTGTGCTCCTTGAGTTTTACAGCAGAATTTGTTGCCATTTTGATGTCTTGAAATGTTTTCTGTGTCGCTTTTTCTAGTAGTTTCATAGTTTCAAATTTTAGATGGACTCTTTGGAACTAGATTACATGAGGAAATAAATCGAGGTTTCTTTGTTCAGCATTAAACTCCATTAACTAGCAAATGTTGGCTTTTGATAGAAGAGGGAAAAAAAGGCACAATTAAGTGAGAAATATGTATGTGAAATGTGTCAGTTACATATCTCAAAATTGTCTTACTATATAGATTTTATATATTATTCTATTTAAAATATGAATATAATACCAATATTATAGTATGTGTTAATATATATTGAAAGGTTAGAATTAACAATAGATTATGCTATTATGATATTGAAAAAGTTATCAACTACATTAAAACCAGCAGATGCAAAAATTGTAAGGTGTCACTATTGGCGTCTCAGATCTGGTTCAGGGATTAGCTCAATTTATAAGAATTTGGAATAA